GTAGGTTTTAAATTTTATCTTATTATACCTAAATGGAATTCTACTTAGATTTGTATTATATATTTGCCAGATTAATTGTATTCAGACAGACGTAATAAATAATGCTCATTATTCGGTAAAAATATATAACTAATTATATAGAAATCTAATTTATATCTCACTAACTAATTTAGCAAACATTTGTTTATGCCATACAGGCAGACAGTTGCTGTTTTAATCGGTTTAGGGTCTTTTTTAGGGTCCGTGGGTACACAATTCTTAAATAACTTGACTCAATTCTACCTGTTATAATTACGTATACAACAGACAGTAAGAAATCAACATATTTAACTGTACAAAGAAAAATATTACATTATCCATAAATGAGGTAAAAATTACAGAGATTTTTAGAATAGAATAGAATAGAAATACGTTTATTCAGACAACAACATACATTTACAATAATAAACTAATATTACAAATACACTATAAAATTATAAATAAATGTTTTACGACTAAATACAGTAAAAATTAAATAGTACAGCTGCCTCTGAAAAGGAAGTCCACTCAGTTACGTTGGGACTAATGTCCCAACACTGATATTCTGTGGCCCCTTCAAAGGCCGAGCTAACACAAGCGATACAGATTGACATTTCTTTCATTAGGTATCTTTTATATACACATTTATTAAGAAAGTATATAAATAAACAATAGTGTAACAAAATAGGTACTTACTATTTTTAAGTGAGTTTCTATACCAGTTTTAATGCTTAACTTATTAACAAATTGATAAGAGACTTACAGATCGGCTTTAAATTATAAATTGTTTAATTTTATAATACTTTTAAAACATAACAAAGGCATTAATTTACGCAGAACAAAACATAATAAATTAATGGCTACGCGTAATATTATGCTTTTAAAGCAAATTGTCGTTTCTCACGAATATTATGTCAAATCTGTACAATAATTATACTAAATACAAGACACGTAAGTATTATTCCTCCTTGTAGTCTTCGCATCAGTACATATAACCTACCTATATAAGCGTTATGTAAAATAATATACAATACATGGAAACAGATAAGTGTGCAATACATATTTACATACAAGAAAATTTCTATAATATACATATATGTGAAAAACCTTACTATTTATTATATCGTAAATCGACCGCCTCTGTAGCCAAATGGTTAAACGTATTGCCTAGCATCGCGTTACGCGCAAGAAGTTCTGGGTTCAAACCTCAGGGAAACAAAAATGTTTCGGTCGGGCAGGGCACAAAAGTCTGACAACATCAACTGTCTAACCGAATCGGAGAAGGCTTGGAATTATTAAAGACTGAACGTGAAAAACAAATCTGTAAACTTAGTTTATAATAATACCCTTAAAACCTTGAATCGACGATCATTAACTATTTCGATCAAACGAGAAGTAATTGACTTTTATTTTCAGTAATTTGACAAAAAATATGCTTATTTAAAGAACAATTACTGGAACGTTTTTGTGACAATTCTTCTTTGAAGGCAAACAAACGTAATAGATTTAGTATATTGTTAGTTTTAAGTTGAACCGACTATAAAACGAATATATGATAAAATATATACTATTTAAATAATACACTTTGACGGTTTAAAACGCGATATATTAGTTAAACTTATCCCCGTGACCACAGCTGCTGCAAAGCATCCGAAACGTCGGGCCGAAGTTAAAAATCATTACCAAATAAGTTTAACTAATATATCGCGATTTAAACCGTTAAAGTGTTTTATTTAAATGTGTACTACTCGCGTAAACTACAGACAGTATTTAATATATACTATGATTTTTCTAGAATTCTTTGTAGCTAAATGGTTATACGTGTTGCGTAGCATTGCGTGAAGCACGAGAGGTCTTGCTTTAGTTGGGTTCGTACTTACCTGAAAAAAAAAACTGATCAGTGAAACGGATACATATATGTCCCATGTCCTATGGGGTAAAGGGGTAAAGGGGAGCGCACACTATGTTTTTACTTAAAGTCTTAAAAATCTAACCATTTAAATATATCTAAGTAAGGAGTTCTAGTTTTTAATCCTATGGACGGCTTCTATTAGCTCTATTCTATCAGCGTAGGTACGGTGGTTCGTGACCTGGACAGTATTTTAATATTCTTACCAGATTTTCCAGTCGATGATTAAGAATATCCAGTTTTTACTAATTAGTATTTCGTCCCCTAAAAACAATGAGTGTCGCAATTTATTCTTATCGCCACAGAGACACGACCCTCGGCGTATGTTTATAAACAAAACGGTATTTTGCTGATAACAGTGGATCTAACCGGTTTTCCGATCTGAGATTTAACCTTTCACCTACATTCATTATCGCTGTCAGGCCCCTTCGTAGTGATCGGTTCTATTGGGTGATTGGGGCATGTCGCACTCGTTTGTCCCCGCCTGCCATGTGGGGCATGATTCAAACACGTTCCCGTATATCGGAAACTTAGGAAAGGTTGTCTAACTGCAGTGAAGGTTAAAATGGCTCCAATTTAAATGAATCAACTTTGAATTAGATGCTTCCATCCATTCTATATTCACCCTATTTTGTCATACGTAAAGTAATATATATAAGTGGTTACAATTAAAAAGAATAGTATAGTAAGATAGAGTAAAAAAAAAAATAAGTTTAACAGACGCGTTCGTTCGTTGATCTAATGACAATGTATGGCTAATGTCATGCTTTCGATCCCCACCGGTCCCAATAGGTTTCTAATATTTTTTAAACATGTTGGACTTCGTCTGGAATCTGGATTTTAAAAGCTGATAGGAATCGCCCGCGCCGTCCGGGTCACGAACAATAGTCCACAGATGAAGTTTAATCGCGTTTCGGTTTCAGTATATCCAAAGCCCAAATAAGTCATCAGCGCATCTTCTTTGGATGTTATATGGCTGGAGTGTTTCAGTTTTATCACGTCGACCTCCATCGTAAAAAAATAAAGTACCCAATGTGCACTAAAAGGTGCATATACCCGATTCCTTGAGAAATTATTAAACAATTAAAAAGTTGATACATTGACAAGAGATGCTATTATCCTATAAATAGGTAAATAGATGACTATTACAGGTAGCAATTTGCAGGCTCTTAGTGTCAACTCATTCTAAAATTTTCGTCTTTTTGAATATCAATAACTTACACTAAATCGTTAGACAATAAGAATTCAAATCACGCTTCGAAATAATTCAATAATGTCTTTGTTAAAATATGTTTTTCATGCTCCTCTAATTGAGCGTAGCTCTTTAAAATATATTCGATAATTGAAGAAGAATAATATTTGCTTATCAAAAGAATACTTAAACCGTACTCGTTAAAATTTAAGGTGTGCGTTGAAATTGAAATAAAACACTTTAAGTTTTAAAACCTGAAATATACTAGTTAAGATATTTCTTTAGATATATTTCATATATTCCTTGCGTTAAGCATAACAGGTCATAAGTTTGAAACTCGGGAAACAATAAATGATCAACTAACCTGTAAATACATATAATACGAAATATAGACACAGAAATGTGGTCGCCTCACAAGGAGGAAACGATTTTTTTTAAAATGGAAAATCTTTCTCGGAGATATTAATTTTATAATTCTTGATGGTAAGATATTTTAACGTCACTTTTGTTAAGTGTTCGATGTGTATGATTTTCGATTATAATCATATAACGGTTTTGGTTTAGGTAATAGAACTGTTGATAAGTCAAGTCATCCATGAGGTTTCTACTTTCAGACAACCTTCAGTGAATCACGCACCTTTCACGAAATTTCCAGTCTTTTTTACGCACTGTTAACGCATTCATTTCCATTAAGGCTAATTTTATTTGACTGTCAACATCTTGACCTTAGGTTGGAATGTTAATTGAAAAAAGCAACACATGAGTATATCGTATCATAATTTAAAAAAGGTTATCACTTTGTTTAATTTATTTTTAATTTCCTTTCTCGTTAGTAAAACAATTTCGCTAGCAGCGAGACAATTTAAAAGTATTTTATTATATTGGGATTATCAATTCAATTAAAATATGACTTCTGGTCTTCGGGGATATACCGATTGGTACACGTGGAACAATCGTTTTAGTTTATAACATTTATTGTTAACGGTTTAAAATATAAGATATCTTAAAACTATTATTCTAACAATGCAGTTGTGTTTGTTTTAAATGTGTTCTATAGACGGAAACTTCAGATTTTTTAGTTTTTATTATTTGTCACTAACAAATATTATTATGATTTAGAGCATGTTTTAGCCGTTAAATTATTGCAGTTACACCTATATCGTGCCTGTATTATGTAACTTCCCCTTCCCCTTCACCTGTTGTCTTTTTATGAGGACAGACAAATGCTATGTTGGCCTATTGCAACTTTGGAAACCGAAAATATGGGTACTTTAAACTGATTTTCTATTTGTACGATAGTTTGGAAAGTTTCTTTAAAACAGCAGCGTTAACGAGAAATAATTTGATTATCACGAGGTTCAAGGTGAAATTTTCGCTACGTTGCAAGGGAAAATTTTATTGAAAATGTAACCTAAACACCACCGAAATTCCTCATATAATTTTTTTAATCACTCGAGCAAAGAATTTTAAAATTAATAAATAGCATCAAATTTTTTTACTGAAAATATTTTGTATGTGATACGAAAATATATACAATTTTTTAAATAGCGAAGAAACTAATAACTTTATATTACATATTATATACTAAATATGCCATCGTTTTTATCAACATTCGCATCGTTAATTATAATAAATTTATTTACCTATATTTTAATAACTCTATTAAATACTTTCTTTTGTCCCAAATGTTTTAGATGTGACAATTTCACTTTTACAAATTAATTAGAATAGATTATATTTGTATACAAGCCAAATGAGTTTTCTTGAGTTTGATAAGAGCATTCTTATCAAATCGGTATTTAAGCGAGCGCGGTTCGATAGATGCGATCACTTGAGTCATTTACTTTGACAAGTGAAGATTAGCGTTTCAAATTCATCGCCATGATTGAAAAGCCACCTGCGTTTGTTGACCTTACTGAATTTGCTAGTAACAGTGTAAGTAGCTTGATTTTTAATTTGGGAAAATATTTTACAGCCGTATTAAAAAAAAAAACATTATTTAGCATGTTCGTTTATAATAGCTACTTTAATTTTTAAATAAAACACTTTAACTGTTTAAAACGCGATATATTACATTAGTTAAACTTATTTGAAAATTATTTTAACAGGTGCTGCAAAACAAAAATAGCGCGTTTTAATCGGTTAAATTGTTTTATTTAATGCGCTTTAACTACAGAAAGTATTTACAAAAAAAGTTAAAGTATTTATATTTTAAGTGTTTCTATAATATAACATATATTCAAGCCCGCTTTACATATTTTATGGTTGCAATTTTTTTCAATAACTCGGACAGAGGTCAGTTATGTAACATCGTGATTCTTAAAAATAAACACAACTTTTTGCTTGAATTGTTTTATAAACAAACCTAAAGCGCGTCGCAGATTACAATTTGTTACGTAACTAACAAATATTAACGCGTCTGAAACATAATATCTTCGAATTACTAAATATTTAAGTTACTTACTGAAACATAAATAGATAATGCCAAGTCTGACAACCGGAAAGAAATGTCATATGACATTAATAAACATAAAAAATAATATAAATACATACTTATTTGGGTAGTGTGAACGAAACTTGTAGAACTGTCCAAGAAAATAAACAATATATTATGTTCTCTCTAGTTAACTTGCTATGTATCAAATTGTATAAAAACCAAAATTACAATTTGAAAGAAAACCAGGTTAGACTGTGGTTTCAAGAGATTTAGTCTATTTAAATAAAAATACTTTAACGGTTTAAAACGCGATTTATTAGTTAAAGTTATTTGGAAATTATTTTAACTACCGCCCAACGTTTCGGATGCTTTGCAGCAACCGCGTCCAAGGCGAGAAACGCCGGGCCGTAGTTAAAATAATTTCTAAATAACTTTAACTAATAAATCGCGGTTTAAACCGTTACAGTGTTTTATTTAAATGTGTACTAATCGAGCAAATTACAGACGGTGTTTAGATTTAGTCTACTTATACAAAGAGCTACTCGTGGTTACGAAACGTGGAGATTCAGTTCACGATGGCCGACCTGCTCAAGCCAAGTAGATTACCGAAAGGTTTTGTTTTTAGACTGGCGGCGAAGTAATCTTTGCGACAGATGACTTCTTTGCAACATGCGAGAATATGATATCGGATAAGGATCCCATATTCTTACCTGAGGAGTACACGGAGTTCGGGAAATGGATGGATGGCTGGGAGACCAGGAGGAAGAGGATACCGGGTCACGACTGGTGTTTGATACGGCTGGCAACTAAATGCATTATTAGAGGTAAGCTCTTTTTTCTGTAATAATACTTTGAAAAGGTAGGCTTTAAAAATTAGTGATGTGAGACTCAGATGTGCAGATTAAGCTAAAAGCTTCGGGAATGTTGATCACCAATAAAGCTTAGTAAACACTATTTGCATTGCATTGACATTGTTGCACGAGTTCGAATCTCGGGAAAACTGTTGTACATCCCATTCAAAAATGTTACAGATAGATTGGAGGTTTGCGAAATAATGGACAGAGAAATTTTATATGTTTTCATTATCTATTTAAAACTAATTATGTTTCGATATTACAAAAAAATAATATCTCCAAAAAATGTATTAATTAAAAATAGTAATTTACGACTACACGTTAAACATAAATTATTTTCTTATCTATTAAAATACATATGTTCAAGGATACAATTAATTTTATATATTTTTTATTATTTGACAAATACTGTCTGAAAGTTAAATGAATACGAAATAGACTTTTTAAACCTACCTTCATATAACGTCAAATTATAGCAACGTTGCAACCTGTTGCGACTTTTTAGATATACAATATAATATATAGGAGATAACGAAACATCTTCAAATATCTGATTATCCGTGTTTAGTTTACACACCACATAAAACGATCAATATGAATAAAACAAATAAATAATAAGCAATTAACTTATAAATATTTTAGTAACAATATATCTTCATATTCAATTGGTTTATAACATTTATCTCTATAAAATATATTTAATATATTTAATAAGTTTACAAAACGACATGATCTTAAAATATGGTGTGAAAATACATTGCATTTTTAAAAACCTTTGCACCGTGACTCTAAATGAATGGAAGGTCTATTTGAAAATTGGGTTTCAGGTCTTCTGGTTGACACGGCATTCTTTACCGGTAACTATGCACCGAAGTATTCCATTCAGGCAGCCTGCTTGTCGCCCGAAGGTAAGTTTTTATACTTTTTGCCTTACCTAGTTAGCCTTTTTTCGTAGTGGATTTTTACTCCAATTTTTTCATGGAAATTCTATTTATCGAAGGGCTTATGCACATTTTAATGGCGGCCATTTTAACTCGGTCTTTTACCAATTTTGCACTGTCTCGTAAATTATTTTTTTTACAATTGTATTGTGTCAGTCTTGTTTAAACCGTGTCCGGAACATATCCGATTTTCCACGATGAAGAGTTTGTTTGAACGCTCTAATCTTAGCAACTACTCGTTCGAATTGAAAAAATATTTTTGTGTTGGATAGAGTATTTATAAAAGACGGCTATAAAATACGCAGTGACAAATAGGATCGAAGAAATAGTGGGAAATGTGGAGAAAACGGGGAAAATTATTTATCTTTGTGTACAAAATATGTATAATTTCTTCCATACATATTTCATCAATCAATCATCATCCATCATCAAGTCGCAGTCACAGCTATATACATAAGAATTATCTCGCATGTATATTGTTTTGCTTTGTTCCAAATAATACTTACGATAGGGATAAAGGTCCTAGAGCTTAAAAGGAACTCCCATAGTTATACTTTAGGGAACATTAGAAGCATTAATAATACTTTAATTACAGAGGAGGCATTAATACCGAAGAGAATTTCACGGATGGGTTCCGCGGCGAGCGAGTCCGACTTGAAACAAATGAATGAGCTTAGGTCCGACAAATGGGAGGAAATCGTCCCAATAACAGCTCTGCTGCCAGGGTACGAGGAGACCAGGATGAACTTTCAGAAGGTGAGGGGAAGAAGAAGTTTAAAAGTACATTATTTCACAATTTAATTGGTTCTAAATATATGTATTTATATATCGTATGTATGTATTTCACACATGATGGCACTATATAAAATAAAATCGGCTATAAATTGAAAAAACTTTCGACACGGACAGTACTTTAACCTGCAACCACAGCATTTCGTGCTATTGCTCAGACCAATTAAGCTACCGTGTACATGTGGTGCTAAATTTGACAAGAAACTTAATTGTTTTTTAATTTTAGTTGTAACTACAAAGTTAATGATTCAACTTGTTAAAATTACGTAAACTAGGTACAGATAGGTTGGCAAGATCTGAGAGAAACAAATGTAGATGTATATCCCCTTTATATAAAACACAGTTTTATTTAAAGGGGGTATAATTTATTACCCAAGTAGTAAAGTGTATATTGTCATCTTGTCATGAAAGTTAGGTTGTATTTTCAATACCGACAGAAAAATAGTAAGTCTTTTTTAAAAATATGTAACGCTGTACAATATTGAATATAATTTAGAATTTTATCAAGTAATAATATTATTTTGCATGTATTTGTTTCTTTATATGCTATTGCTTTATCCACATTGGAAGCAATAATAAAGATTTGAATATCCTCAGGTACTCAGTGATGAAGCCTGGACCTACATCCGAGTGAACTTATACCCAGATGGTGGAATCGCGAGACTGAGAGTGTTCGGTGAGGCGGCCCCAGACGTACCACCCAGTGACCAGCTAGTTGATTTGGCATCCATGCTGTATGGTGCTACGGTTCTAAGTAAGTATTTTTGGTATAATAACTGAAATAAAACTACAATAATGACCTCTTACAGTGTAGTATATAAGGAACAGAGGCATTGTAGATTCAATTCTGACAAAAGCATGACAGTAACTTCTTTGTTGTTTCCATATGTATGGGATACAAGAATGTATTGACTTGTGCGAAAATATTTCAAGCTTTAATATTTTTCACACGTTATTGCACATGATAGTATTACAAATAAAAAATCGATTAGAAAAAAATACGATTCGAGCGGGAATTAGCTCAATTGGTTCGAGCAACAGCACGCAACGCTGTGGATGCTAATTCAAGCAATCTTAATCGATTTCTATATAAAAATATTTTTCTTTGTATCATCGAAAATCCAAATTGATAACGAAACAGAGTATTTAGATATAGAAGAGCAAAGATAATTCGTCTTAACGGTTTGATCTTCCAAAAATGTACATGAGAATACCTTGTTAAATAAATCCTCCATCCAGTCAAGATTAAGAAGAAAAGATACTTAAATAAGATTACTGAGATTAATATATTTATATTCATGTTTGTGCGTTTGTACCTCTATAGATTTCCCGTAAGTTAAATTTCAAAGTCTACTAATAAAAGCATGAAGCCATGTAAAATCCATTTCTTTTGAGCCATTATTGTCTCGAATTTCGCAAGATATGCACGAGTCCTTTCACAAATTCCGTCTGAGGAAGAACTTAATGTATGGCCGTAATTTCTCCGGCACTAAAGCACCTCTTTGTTACTACAATACTATTTACACACACAAATTGTTCTACATAAAGCTTTACGAAATGTAATTAAAATACGAGGTGCTGTTACTATTTTCTATTATAGACACCTGGCTTAGTCCTGGAGATCAGCTTTTTAGAGGAAAAGAGACGAGCATAGGTTTCAATGGATGGAAGGTGAAATACCTGTGCCATATATCTAAATAAAATTTCAATCTTCTTCGGCTTTAAAAACTCGGTAATTCAATATGATACTTTCAATCAAAATATATTAAAAAGACATTACGTTATTTAAAACTATTTAGTATCTACTACTACCAGCATTTTAATTTGCTTGTAATTATTTTTGGCTGTCGTAAGGGGTTTATTTAATAAGTAATAAAGTATTTACATCATACAATAAGTATATTTAATATTAGAGAAAAACATAAAGGAAAAAGCAATGCTATATAATACAACATAAGTATGTATGTATCTCAAAATATTCTTCAATTCTCAAAATAATCCTAGGTGTTTATTAATGAAGATGAAATTGTGGTCAGAAAGTATTAAGAAGGTTATATGTATAGTTTAATGAAAAATTTCGTAAAAATTGATTTTGCAGTGTAACAATCTGTGTATTCGAATTTAAAATAATTTTGTAATTAATCATTACAAAAATATTTAAAGAGTTGTAGTAATAATTAATGTATATATTTATATTAACATTGTTTTAAAAACACTCGAATTAATGTTCGTTATTGGACCGTTAACTTCCGTCGTGATAATTAAATAAATGTCTGGAAATACGTTTATTAGCGATGTAACGATACAATCAGTTTGCGCTGTTAGCAAGTTTCATTAGAATAAGGTTATTTCGCAGCCATGTTAAGGTTGCGAGGATATACAATAAATAACATCTATCTAAATATGCACTTAATCAAAGGACAGACAAATGTATCTACATACATGTCTCTTTCACACGCAAATAGCTTGTGGACTGTATGTACACTGTCATTACCTTTGACTATAACATTGCATTTCGTGGAACGTTACCAGGATTCCATAAATGGGAACATATACTCTGGTCCAAAAATAAGGATTAGGAATATAGGATAAATTTATTGATTGATGGTTTTTACTTTTTTTGGGTAAAACTATCGATTAAGTATTGTAAGCATATTACGCGAGTATTTAATACATTTAATTAAAACCTTTTTGTATCGGTTAAGCTATTTTGACAACGATTTACCGGATGCCTTATAAATTGAACTAATATAATTTGCATTTTAAAGCGTTTAATTTAAAAACTATCTATGTTTGTACGACAGATCGTCACTAAACCAGCAAAATCTAGATATAGTAACGATGTTATAACTTTGCAGCTTACTCAAATGCGCACTACGGCCATCCCAAAAACATCGTGAAACCAGGGAAGAGTGAAACCATGGCTGATGGTTGGGAAACAGCACGACGTCTGGACAGACCAGCTATCATTAATATTAGGGAAGACGGAACTCTTAAAGTACCAGGTAACTATTACAAGACCTTAAATTGAAACACACATTCGACATCTAGAACAATCTTCCACAGATAAAATTATGCGTTTCCTGCTATCATATCTATCTTTTTTGTTTATTCTTAAGAGAACAGAGAGAGATGACAGGTTCGTCGCTTCTCTGTTTTGTACTAAACTTAGCAATGTATGGCTAATAATCAACGGGTCGTGGATTCGATCCCTACATCCAACGTGTTTCTAATTTTCAATTTATAATTTTTTTGAAACATGTCACAAACATTGGGGTCACGAACCACCGTCCACCGATGAAAAGACCATGAAGTTAATCACGTTTTGGTTTCAGTCTGTAGATTTCCCAATATGTAAAGACAAACTAGGTCGATACTGCATCTTGTTTAGATATTATATGTGGTAATAATTCACCCCCCATAAAGTGGACCCCCTCTTGTCTGTCCTTCTCTATATTAAACAAAATTAAAGATAAGAAATAAGCGAAGTAATTGAAATTATGTCTCATAGGCGAGGAATGGGCAATCTTCAAGCTGGGATTCCCCGGTAGAGCAAAGGACATTTGTATAGACACGACACAGTTTAAAGGAAACTTCCCGGATAGCGTGAAAATTGAAGGCGCCTTCCTGAAGAATGACTTTGCAAGTACAAGAGACGTTATTTGGAAGAGCATTCTGCGACCAGTTAAGGTGAGATTTTACAAATTGCTGCTAACAAAAGGTTTTCATATAACGCTCTGCTAGCTTGTCTTACTAAGAATTGTTTTCGTTCTTGGAAGAACGTTGCTTTGTTGGCGAGATAAGAAAATTGTTTTGATTTTAATTGCATTCAAAAAAAATGTTTTTTGAAGTGGCTACATCCATCTCAGTGGCTCAATACTTTCTGTGAATAAAATACAGCATTTCATAAGATATATACTGTACAAAATATTATTTAACAGCTTTGTTTTAATCAGTTGACGTGCTTAGAAAAAAGCAACACACGTTCATAATGTTACTGATTGATTAAAAATACAGTTATATTTTTTAATAATAGCAACTTCAACTTTCAAATTAAATATACCATAAATTTAAACGTCTTACAACGTGAAAAAAAATTTAGTTAATATACATACTATAAAAATAAAAATATTGATTTTAAATTAAACGTTTACGCGAGCACAACACAGAGTTACCCGTGACCACGGCATCTGCAAAGCATTCGAAACGTCGGGCCGTAGTTAAAATAATTTCCAAACAAGTTATTATACCTACCTACAATATACCTATATTTATTTTTTAACAGCTATCAGCAAACAAAGAACATTGGATTGAATGTGATTCAGACATAATCACTCACATTCGTGTAACAATGGCGCCTGACGGAGGCTTCAGCAGACTAAGGATGTATGGATTCGTTGAAACTAATTTATTATAATTTTGAACGTACTTAAAGGCCGACAACGCATCTAAAACTTAGTGTAATAGATGCCCTTGGGCAGCAAAACCATGATTCATTCAAATTATGGCATGTTCCGGTTTGACCATACTGAAAACAATATTTGTTCATCTCTGCAACCACTTGAAAAGAAAAATTTTCGATATTATGTTACTTGATTTCTTGTTATTTGAGTTTTCTTATATTCAAATACTTAATCCTCTCATTTTAACTTATTTCAATATATCAATTGCGTTAAAGGTTTTTTAAGAATTGGTAACATCTGAAACTACAGGATGTTCTTAAATGTATTGTTAGAAAGTGTATCTACTTACGATTGACTTTTTAAGGTGTTAAGTAAACTGTTATTTTATTTAATTATCATATTATATCGAGTATGTACTTACAACCTGCTGCAAGACAGCGGGTAGATTTTTGTTTTTGTATAATGTAGGGAAAAATATGCTGGTTCATATTTTATTATTATTCATATCTTAAAATATATAGCTTTCGTTATATATGTTAAGATATGCATGCGTTGTGACATTGTTTTAAAATAATTATTGTTTTGTTATAATTGTTGTAAACTTATGCTATAAAAGTATTATTAGTAATAAAATGAATCATATCCATATGTCGTTTTTATTTATTACTCAAAATGAGAAAGAACCCAAAAGTCCAAAACTATAATTTAATTAGAGTGCATCTTATAAAGATGTAATATGGTTGGGCTATTTCAATTTCCATCAAGTGAATCGCAAGCATGTCTGTATTCCTCTGTTACAAGGGAAAATGGCAGCACTTGATTGGTGTTTTTATAATTATAAGTGGAATTACCCATTTTTTATGTTTTGTATATATAATGACTTAGGTGAGACTCAAACACAATAATCCGAGTTTCGAGCCGCTTCTATAATTTTATTAACCGTTTAAGTCTATATAATTTGACTTACATTTAAGATTAACAATTATTTGTGATAAGAATTCATAAAACATTACCACATTTATACATATAGGATGTTAACTGATAGAATTTTCCATTAAGACCATCCACGTTTGACCCCTGACACCATTCCCCGTTGCTACACATCGCAGTAATTAAAATATATCTGCTATAACTGGTTCCGACTGACTGCCGACCAGGCCCGCGATAAGTTTCGTAACACGCGCCGCGTAGTCAAAACAATGTTTCGTTTAATAAAAGCAGTGTGTTTAAACACCAAACATTTTTATGTCTGCAATTTAGACAGATTCTTTGCCTGCTATTTTCCCGGCCTTGAGCTAAATAGATTATCAGGTTTTTGTTTACTAAATTAACGCTATTTTTATTTTACAGATTAGAACCTCGTGGTTAACGCATAAACAAAGTGTGTAACTGAAAACAGTGTACTCAGGCTTTACTTAAATAATCAATATTAATCTCTGTCTATTTCTTGAATATTTAAACTTCAAACAATGGTGGGTATCACGCGAGTATACTTTTAAATAAGATTCTTTTAACAGAGCAAAACGCGAAATATATTTGTTCTGACTACATAGACTATATTCCTCTATGCCTTTTCTCACACTCTATTCTATATCTGTCCCTATCCCGCGTTTACAGTTGTACAAGCCTAAGTGCCGGGGCAGAATGACGCACGAGCTTTCTTAAATAAGCAGCAGCCATCGAAGTGGCTGAAATAAAACAATTCGGTGTACGGAAAGCGTTGACCCTGTAATATTTTAAAACGAATCAAGGAAGAGACCCGGCCGTGAGACAGGTGCCGTCATTCGTAATCGTAAGTACATTTATTCTATACCTATTCCCAGTTTCTGTGGGCCAGAACACTCCCACCACCTTTCTTAAGGGATCATAGGAATATCTAATAATACAGTCATCCCTGGAAGGCTTCACCAATAAAAGTCCTTCCAATATTCGTTAACTTCTTTACAAGTTCCTCCGCGACAACGACTATTGCAAAGCATCCGAAACATCGGGCGTAGTTTAAATATTTTTAAAAATTAACTTTCTTTTTAAAAATATTTTTAAATCAATAATATCTCGTGTTAACTGTTATAAATGGTATATTTAAAAATGGACTTCTGATATAAGGATCGACGACGATGAAAGAGAATTATAATATTATTTTTTGTTAGTTATTTACATAACTCATATATATACATATTCTACATATGAACTTTCCGTATCATCAAGTGTAGGTAAATATTATTACATAATATTTGGACAACAGTCTACTCTCGGCAAGATTTTTTCTTTAGGGTTATCGTGGGTCATTACGAAACAAATGTAGAATGTTCCTAATGTTAACAGTCCGAATTGATAAGAAAATGTATTTTTATTTGGACGAACATAACAAACAATCAATCAAGTAAAAATCAAAATAGAATTTCCACGTTCACGTGGAAATGTTTACTCCTCGATATTATTTTGGAATTTTTGCATGTCTTACTGGTAAGAAGGGAAATGAGACTCATGAAAGGTGAAGCTTATGTATAGAAATGGTGAAGGTAAATACGTAAGTAATTGTATGTACATATGCGACGAAGTGCATCGATACAAAACAAAAGATTGTGTTTACTAAACGGAGTGTCTGCAGAATTTATTTTTTACTATTTTTACTGGTAGACGTTCATTTGTCATATCGTTTATTTCGACTAAATTTGATTCCCGTAAAAACGATTCTTAAAAGTTTACTCAAAAAGATAGACAAATTGCGTTGCTTACATAAAGAAGAATAATCCTTTCATACATACTTTTTGGGTATCTTGAACAGTTTTCGAAGCGTGTTACGTACGAAGGATATTCACCGTTTTAACATAGTTTTGTCGCTCCTATTTATCGCAATGATGCTTCAAACAACAAAAAAAACATTCTTCAATTCGGACCAGTAGTCCCGAGATTAGCGCGTTCAACGCTATTAACAAACAAACTCTTCTGCTTTATAAATTAGTATAGTTTAGCAACCTTCACCGTCGCTTATCTAACCAATCAATGATAAATGAATGGCGTAGCTTTTATCACAAGACCTTTCAATTGTGTTTACAGGTTCGAAATCCCGGGAAACACAACAATGAGTTTTGATCAGACATAGCACAGAATTTTGAACACAGACGTGTAGGCACATTTCACGTAATATTCATAAGCTTACAAAGTAATGAAGTTTCCTGTCCTATGGGTTTTAATATCCACAGTAACGCTTTAATCAATGTAAGTACTTCAATATTTTATGAGCCCAAATTCCCCATAAAGAAGGCGCAATATCGCCCACTTTATTGCCTCGTGAAGCACAGTTATCATTTCACACCACTCGAAATTGTAAAAAGTATGTAATTTACTTTATTACAAAATAAAAACCATTGTAATAAACGGGAATGTTCTTAATTTCGGAGGAAATTACAATTTGACACCGTCCCATTTCGTCTGAAACGTGAGCCTCGCTTAATATAAAAGGCATCAAGAAATGAATATTGACTTCATTTTGTACTGATCGCGGAAGAGATAGGCGCCGCTTCGTACTGCGGCATAAATATGCGGATTTCCGTTTAATGTCAAACAATTTTAAATTCCTATTTCAGTCTGTTTTTTCCAATTACTGCAAATGGGGCAGTAGTACCATAAATCCATCAACGGCTACATATATTATTATTATTATTATTTTCTATCGGGGAACCTATAGAAGGCCACATGATCAGCTGACCATTTCACCCATTTTCCCATTTAACGGCTACATATAACTAAAAGCTAGTTTCAACTCCATTTCCTTTAGTTGGGGTATGGGGCAAACAGATTTCTTCATCTTATCTATGAATCTTGAAATTATATTTTTCAACAGGTAAGATTTGAACCCATTGCAATTTGCACCATAATGCAACTGCTTCAAAAAGACGGTTCTGATAGTTAGTAACTGTTCTTATATTATATGGAGTATTGTAAGTTTACACGAGTACACATTTAAATAAAACTCCTTTAACTGTTTGAAATGACAAATATATTAGTTAACTTAACTTTGTTTTCACTACGGTCCTACGTTTCGGATGCTTTGCAGAAGCTGTGTGAGGAGGGACTGAAGATGCAGTTTTTTGCAGATTTAAAACTGACAACTAATATATTTCTCGTTTTAAACCGTAAAAAGACTTTAATTGTAACGTAATAATTAAAATATGTTGAGTCTATATAATGTCGTTTTAATGAAATACCACGAATAATACCATCTACTTAACCCTATCTAAAATGTCAAACTAAACTCCCTTTAATTTAAATTCCATAGACAACACAGCGATTTGAAATTAAGCTGCTAATAGAGATACCGTTAAACAGATAATCCGCCAATACACCAGCTATTCAGCAAACAAATGGCTTACAATTTGCGAATGAAAACGTGTGTCAATACTAATTGATTAATGGTGTCAAAATTGTTGTTATATTATATAACTATCGTACAGCTTTATTGGTTAGTAGATATATCTGTGGTATATAGGATCCAGAATTCAAACCCAGATAGAGGAGGGTATATTAAGGATTGCAACTTCAAGAATTATTTGTTTAAATCATCCCCATATTAATACCCATACATGACAACTTAACGACATATTCAGGAGAAAAATTTAGAAAAATATTAGAAAGACAGAAACAAGAAGCTCCTATTGCAAACTGGAGCATGGAAGTTCTTTATTACTAATTTAGTGACGGTAGTTGTAAGACTGCTAATTCAGTTAAAGCAGTTAGATGTGTCTAAGTTTTAAAAACAATTCGCACATGTGGTGACGAGAAAGTTAAGTCTCTTATATTAGAAGCCAAAATCCACTTTTGTATTCAATTTTTTTTATGAAAAAGAAAGATAGACGAGTATGGGACTCAGTCACTCGCACTCAGGCAGGACTTGAACTGTCATTCACAGCTTTCCGTGCTCTTGCTCTAACCAATTGAGCTGCCGTGTTCTACACGTCATGGTCGAATTTCTAGTCGGGCCGGTGTGTTATATATTTTTTTCAATCCAAAA